GCTGTAAAATTATTGTCATTTTACTGTAGTTAACCACTCTGAACAATGAATTAAAGTTAAGGTCTTTCTGCAAGTCCCACCGCACAAACAACTTTGAAATTTTTTGTATTGCAAAAAGTCTGTCATGGCCTGGAAATGACTTATCTGTGATCATTCTGTACAAATAAGGTGTGAAATCTTCTTTACACTTCTTTAGCATGTTTTTCTACTCCAAAACACTTATGATACGGTGCTCAGAATAAAGCAACATGGCTGTATAATTTTACAGTGATTGCTGGACTCTGTTTACTGTCAGCTCCCAGTGGACTGCAGGTGTTACTGGGCAGATCTCAGTTTGCTGTGTGGAACACAGAGGGGCTGAAAGCAACTTTGCATATTCAGCAAAAGCCTTGTTTTCTCTGTAAATTAAAGGCAGGAGAACAGTAGTCTTGACTGCTCCGCTCTTACTGCTGCTGCTCTGAACTTTCTAACAAACCCCCTGCTGACCTACAGCATGTAATCAACAGAATTAGTGCAGGAAACAAAAAAAACAGTCCTTCCAATGCCATGCATCTGAAAGCTGCACCCCACCACCACCACCACCACCAAGACGCAGCCAGGGAGGAGGTCTGTTTGAAAAAGCAAAGGCCTCACCACCAGACCCCTATAATGACTCTCTCTCTCCTTCTCTGACACTTAGGAAGATGAAAAGCACAGATCCAAATCACATTAACACGAGCTGACTTATTCATATTTAGACTGATTTCAGTCCATAATCTCTCAGCTCAGATGTTCACTGGGCTTATTAATACATGAAAGAAAAGGCCTAAGTCTATAAATCAGACATGAAATTTTAAACACTCCTGCATATCTTGTCTTTCATCTGTTTTAAAGGAACTACCCTTCGTTTTTAGACTGAAACATGGCTGCCACTGAGCGCAAGTTAAACGACCAGCGCTGGGTAAGGACCACCCTCCATGTTGATGAAACTCATAGTCATGCTGTGCATGCAGCTCTTTATAGTGCAAATCCACAGGCGCTCTGATAATTGAAATGATTTGCTTGACATTCTTCCCTTCAGGAGAAAGGATATGGAGACATGATCAGTACACTTCCCATGACCGCTAATAGGACAACCAATCTGCAAGTCCTCCCTTATGCCTCCTGCAACACTAAGAGGCAGTAGAAGTTGGGTACAAGTACTTTTTACTGTATGTTATCACTCTACCATGGCAAAAATATTGTGTAAATGTGTAAGGACCACAAAAAAATGTCTCCAGATCAAATTATGGGTGCAACAAAACCAAAAAAGTCTTCACATTTTTTGCCAGCTTGAATGCCCATCTATTTCTTTCCAGTGAGATCTATGTAATCAGTTTCAATCTAACCCCGAAATGTGATGTGATATTGTTGAACTATAACTACAGCCAGATTATAAAGTAGTTGCTTGAGATTGTCTGCAAAAGTAAGGCAACCCTTTTGGTGCCTTTCTTAAAAACACACATCTACATAGTAGAATTTGACATTTCTATAGCCTGTACTAGAAACTGTCCTTTTTTCCAGGAGCTCATGCAAAGTTTTTGACACTCATTTGCCATTTACCAGAGCTCAGAATTTTGTAAGTCATAAACAAATAGCCGCTTGCTGTAAGGGTTATTTTACCAATGACACAGCAAAGTTTGGTTGCAAATGGTATAGTGAAAAACACAATCTCATAAAGTTGTACCTTTCTGAAACCAAACTGTGTTTTAGTCTGGGATCAATCCTGATTTGTTCATAAAACTACTCAAGTGTTGTCAGTGGTCATAATTGTGATTATGAAGTTTTTAGTCAAAATCACGTTATCAGTGTCATTTTCAAGGACTTTTCTTCTGCAGAGCTCCAGCAGCTCATTAGCAATTTGCCGCTGAGTCATGAGCGGAGACAGCTCTGCTCTGCACACTCCTCTTCACACTAGCTTGTAGCCTAACGTTGCTGTTGCAGCAGAAGTGTCAGGTAATATAGAAGCTATTCAGCTCTTGCACACAAATGTCTTTGGGGGCATGATGAAAATTAATATCATAATTAGCTTTCTAATGAGCATTGCAACCTGCCTATGCATACTCTTGTTCCGTGACCATCCCTTCTTCTCAGGATCTGGCCTGCAGAGCAAGGCACCAGGGGCGGAGCTTGGATTTGTGATGTAGAAAATCTCACAGTGTCTGAGCCTGCTGTTTTGGTCTGCCAAAGATTTGAATGAAGAAATACTCAGAAATGCAATTTTGCGCTTTTTTTCTAATACCTCCTCTAGCATCAGAAAAATGCCATATGAACATATGGACAACAAGAAAAACATGATTTCCATCAGAGTGGGACTTTAAGCTCTTCTTGCGGTACTTTGGTACACTCCCCTGCAGGTTGAATGAGCAGCCTATAAAAGCAGAGGAGAGTATATCTCAAGGAAGGGAAGTGGGGCCTCGTCACGTTTAACCTACGCCTGAGTTTGATTTCATTTGCGATTCATTTTGTTTGATTTTGATGAAAGTTTTATTTTAAATTGAATTACACGTGTATTGAACCAAATCCAAAGTCCGCTGAGTTGCCTTCCTACCACTTTTCTTGACAATTGAGCGAAACTACTTAACACACTCTGACTGTTTGATATCATTTAAACCACATGTTGTTAATCTGTATTCGATAAACAATATAGTTAACAATACAGTTAGGAGTACTCAGTAAGAAAGAGAAAAACTCAACAGCAGGATTTAGTAATTTTACTACAACAGGGGAGTTTTCACAAGGACATTGCTGAGTTTACATTACTTTCCAAATTTAGTGATGTTTCAGTGAACTTCTCTTCTTGTGCTGATCTAATGGAGTGTGCCCCACACACATTACACACAGTTCAATATTACAGACTTCATCATCTGTTGCTGCAAAATCCTTGAATCTCAGACATGATTTTCTGTCATTCCTTGAGTTGCTTTGTGCAAGAAAAAATAAAGTAGAATACTAAAAAATCCCTACAGGAGGCCCAGTATTATTAGAAAGAAGTTGAGAAAAGTAACTTCTACTTTTTTATGTCTCTTGTGGGGAGTTGAAACACTTAACTTTTCGAGATATATAGTGTATTGCAATAATTATTACAGGTCAGTTATTGGTCTCTTTGCTGTGTTTTTTATAACCTCTCAGGAATCACAATATCTTACCTTCTGTTTTGAATTTATTGGCAGCTTATGAAAGTGGAATGTAAAAGTATCTCCTCAATGAGCCCTGAAGAGCATCCATGCAGAGAGTGGAACCACTTCCAGTCAAAGAAGAACCACGGCAAACTAAAGAGCAACTTCTGAATTTATATTTTCACTTTAATTGTGTTGCAAACATAGACGCGCCACAGAGATATGAAAAAATTTAAACCTAGAAATGACTGTGATCATTCGGAGGCAGAACTTGCCTCCCGGATATGTGTGGTTTAGCACTTGTTTTGTAATCGATAATGACAGACGTTGTGAAATGTGAGCGGGAACAGCATGCTCTCTGAGATCTTTAACAGCCTGGTATCTAAAGTTAAAAGCTATGTGTCCAAGGTTAAAAGTTGGCTAAGCTCTCTTCGTCTAAAACCAGAACTCTGCCAAAAATCTGTCTTGGGTCAGGTCTCCCATCCACAGTGTGGGCTGTGTTAGTGCACAGAGTCAAGGTTTTACTCAGCGAGTCTGCTTGTCAGGGCCTCGGGGCCTTGGCACTCCTGATGGCTGCTGGCCGCTAGTAACCCCTCGTCCTCCTCCTCTTCCTCCTCCTGCTCTTTGCAAGTGCATGGTGAGGATCTGGCAGGGAAGAAGGACCCCGGCCTTGCAGACTTTGCTCCTTTCTCTAAGTGCTTGCCGTATCTCCTACCACCTCCCCCTCCTGCTCTCCCTACATACCTTCCATCTCCTCTGTTAAAGCAATGCTAATGCAGAGGTCAGCAAACAGCTCATGGTTTTCGGAGGCCAAAAGCTCCCGAGGAGGTGCTTTTGATTTTCAACTCCATTGAGCTGCACTTATTCAATATTTACTCTCTAAGACCTCTGCATTAATTTTACACCATACTTCTAAGAGGGCCCATCTAAAAAACCCCTGCAAAGGGCCTTATGCAGCACTCCTAACAATCCCCTCCCACACCCCTAAACCTCCCTCTCTTTGCACTCCACCGAAGGCTTCATTCTCCGCTCGTCTCTGACTCCTTCTCATCCACCAGTGGGAAGGCCAATCCTGGGCTAGTTATTGTTGGTGCGCTGTTCTATCATTACCACTAACCTTGACTCCTGGCTGCTTGCTGTAATCACATGGAGTCACCAGGGAGGAAGTCTGGCCTGGGGTGAATTATTAATTAGCAAGGCTGGTCCTCCCCCTCAGCGCACCCTGGGAGAGGGGGGTAGGCTGTGTGTGTGCTCCTCACAGGCGGTAGGGGTTACCCACCATGCAGATGGTATTAACACACCTATCAAGGTAAGACGGATCAACACTCTGGGCTACTTGTGGAATTGTTAAGCAACACAGAATCAATAACCAACAGTGCATCGCTTCCTGCCATGCATGATGTGTGCCTCCTACTTTCAATCCCAGCGAAAGGCTGTACAGCGTGATGGGAGAGGGGGGCGGGGGGCTGTTCATTAAGATGAACTTCACAGGCTTCCTCACTGGGGACACGCTGGAGGTTGATGAATTCCAGTTTTCAACTAATGATCAACTTCTATATGAAGTCAAAAACAAAGCAAAGCTTCCTAATACTTGTTATCCTTTCCTGACCTTTCTACACCTTGCCCCAAGCTCGCACACTCACACGTACACACAAACAGGGTAGATGCATTCGCACACATTTCTATTGTACACCACAATAGGCTGAGACAAAGTCCCATGCCACTGACAGAATATGACAGGAAGCAGAACTACAGACATGAAGTTACCTCGCAGTGTGTTTTGGAGACCCTCAGTTCACGTGTTTGGTAGATCCCCTGGGGTCGTCCATTTCCCAGCACCCCTGACTTTCCTCCCTTAAACAGCAGAGACTACGGGGACCAGGACCAAGGCTTTGATCTTCACATAGCTCCCTTAAATCACAGAGAGGAAGCGGGGATTTTCTCCAAAGGGTCTCTCTGTGCTCCTATTCCCCAGGAGGACAGAGCCAAGTCATCTATGAAAGTGAGTGAATTGCAGAGCAAAACAGTGCTCCCCAGGGTGCAGAAACAGATACTCCGCCAGTCACTTTGCCGCTCTGCAGAGGAGCTCTGTGATGAAAAATGTATAACTGTATGATATACGGTACCTGCAGCTGCTCAACCTGATGCACAAAATCCTATATAGTCAGACCTATGTGATCATGAAAAATTCCTGCTGAGGCTTAGTTATTAAATTTGCAGCAAAAAAAAAAAAAAAAAAATTTCATGTTGAAGTAAGACTATACAGAATATCACATCTAACTGAGAATATACCAATCAACTTATAGAATTTTGACCATATTTTATCAGGTGGAAGGTATTTAAATTTACATCAGGCTATCGGGACATTTCTTTTTAATATTTCCAATAAGTGTGCAAAAAGAAGATGGATATTTTGATGAAAATAACTCCGGGCACTTTGCACACAGATGCTGTATTATATTTGAAATAATCATGTCCTCCCAAGAAACGACAGGATGTGCAACTTTTAATAATCTTACAAAGAATCTCATATTCTGCCTTGTGAACAGGGGGAAACAAGAATGGTCCCCTGCAATTATACAGACCTCAATTCACCAAATTCAAATAGCAGCTATTGTCACAGAAGTCAGACTCTGGACTTTATTGACTGTTCTGCACATTGCATCATGGCTTAAAGTGCAAATGTCATCACTATAGTCCATCCCAAATGCTCATCACTTTTAGGCTCAGCACCAACAGCTGAGCTTGTGCCCACGATAGCACCCATGAGCCCGTTAAATTGCATCTCTAAACAATATTTAAAGACAACAAATAAAGACCATAAAAACAAAGCTACCCTGACATTTCATGTATATGAAATGAAAACTCCAACATGTTAAAAGCCAAAGAAATCAAAGTCCAGCTATGCTTTGTTTAATGCAGTTAATTTGATAAATTATCAGATATGTTTGTGAAACAGATGATGAGGTGTAGACACATGAACAACATTCTGTTTTCTCCCTACATGTGCACAGTAATATGATTTCTTTGCGCATTTCACATTGAGCTGATTATCAAAGCATTTGGTGTGATCCTTCACAATGTTTTTTGTTCTTTCATTGTTCGGTAGCATTTTAAACTCTGAGCAGTAAGTTTACAGTCATAATAATAACTCTGTCACCAAAGGCAAAGTATTCCTTACATGTGGGTCGAGCGCCACAGGCTGCCCCGAAATAAACAAGGAACTGTCAAACCCACAAAGACATTTGCACAATAAGAACATGTATTTCTGATATTATTAGCTTCAACACCCACTGCACTGTTATGTAACTCTGTACCTAGTCACTGATAACAACCAAACCTACTCACATCCTTTTTTATGACACGACAGGGGACATTCACAAAAAAAAAAAAAAAATCCAGATCAGTCGGTGAAAGAAAAATGATTGTTAACTTTTTGTGTTAAGGTGTTGCAAATATATACCTGGTTTTATGGTGAATAAGCTTTACATATAAATGGGGTCGCTCTGTATTAGTTAACTGCAAAGATGCTGCTGTGTTTTTTGTGTTATATTTTCCCTTGTAAAGAAAACTTGTTTTAAAAGGTCAAACAAGGAAAAGTACATTATGTTAACTTGTTAACTTCAAGAGATGAACATTTAGAGAGGAAATCTGTGTAAAATTGTATTTTTTACTCTGTTCAGACAACTCAATAGACTTCCTTGCATAAGAGAAAAGAGACCGACCAACAAGTTGTGCTTTTAGACAAAACAGGATCTGTGGATTTTGTCAACCTTGATGTTGGGAGTGGAGGATCTGTTAATGGTTCAAGATCTGGATAGATGACAAGAGGCCAAAAGTTGTCTCTGTGGAAGTTTCCTTTGTCTGCAAAAGACTTTGAGTAAGTTGTTAGCATATGCCCCTGAAAATTACATAGTGGCTCATCAAACTCACTTTTTTTTTATTACGTTTGATCCAATAACTTTAAGTCTTAATAACTTAAAGTTTGATCCAATAACTTTAAAAATTATATTTATATTTATATGTAAACAGAAAAAGTGTACAAAAAAGTGATTCAAAATGATCATTTCAGAAAAGTGCATATACAGTAAAAAAGAGGGAACTTTTAGGAGAGATTGAAAAGATGATACTGATTTGTTACTGTTACTGTTTCCATGAAACTGTTATAGGTTACAGTAAATACATTCAAAACATCTACTTAAGTTCATCAAAAAAATGATGCAGATCACAAAAAAATACTTTGCATTGATTTGTTATGTCTTCAGAACTAATGAGTTATATGGAAAAATCAGACTGTGCAGTATGTGGATAGAAAATTGAATTACTTAGATCAGAATTGTTTCTGAACAAGGCTGTAAACATGTTTATTTCACTGTAAAGACTGGCTTTTTAAATGGGTGTGCTTCCAGCCTCAAGTGGACATAGTAGGAACTGCAGTTTTTAGTGCCGTCCTGGGCTGGTATTTAGACTGAATGAAGGAAAGCCAAAAGCAAGTTTTGAGCTTTCATGAGCAAAAGCAGCAATGAATACCACAACATAAACTTCACTCTCCCCCTCTGGTCCAGCTGCCATTTGCATTTTGTTCTCATTTATCACTTCTGCTCCACCCTGAAATATATTTCGTCTTGTCCAGCCGATCGTTGCACCTTGCGGTATCCCGGGGGTTTTCTCTTTATTTGAATCTTGGAACTGGATTTTCAGCCTATGCCTTTGATGAGGAAAAAACACCTTTATGAGGGTAATTCATCACCTTTATAAACGTGCTCCTCCGTAGAGGCTGAGTGCTTCTGAAAAGAATTATGCCTCAGAAATCAAGGATGTGAGGATGGCTGCAGAGGCAGGTCCACAGGGAGTCGTTTGTGGTCCTACTGTAACTGTGCAGTGCTGTGGTGGCGCAATAAAACACAGGCTTTTTAAGGGTTTCAAAGTGGCTTTCCTGCTCTTGCTTCTGTCAGCCATAAATTGAGAATAAACACGGCTATATATGGTGCGGCTATAAATGCCTTCATAATTCATTCCTTTGGGGAGAAACTCAGGTAGATTAAATCGTTTCTGTGATACAATGTTTTCCTGTGAATAATATACCCACAACCCTCCACCCCACTTGGGTTTCTGCTCTCCTCCCTCAACTAATAGCTTGATCTGGACGTTATTAGACAATAAAGGGACACGTAACATATTGTAGATGATTAGACTCATGGGTATATAAAGTGTATAGGTACTACAGCCTCTCATATCGCAACAGAGGAACTCTCTTCATCTCATGAACCAGGATTGAAATAATTACTTTCTGGTTGTTGCAAAATCATTTTTTTCTCCTTTGTGTCTCTTTAAAATGTTACTTCATATGTTCATTTTCCTTTTCGCTTGCAGCTAGAAGTGGATGGAGGTTTTCTGTTGTTATTTCTGAAGCTTAAAGCACTCCATCCCTCAATCTGTGATTCAATTCTTGGTTTAGCCCTTCAGACGGGGGATGACTGGCATATGGCAAAGCCTTAAAATACAACAACACACACATAAGGCCTCCACAGCTCTGTGGATCTGATGCTCATAAGCCAACAGAAGATAAAGTCGTAAAAGACATAATACACTTCAGAAAAGAGAATCCAAGAGAGCTGGGTGCCACATTTCTGATCAAAGCACCTTTTGAAGTTTTCACAAGAGGTTCATGGCGTGTGTGTGTGTGAGTGTGTGTAGGTGTGTGTGTATGTGTGAGTCTGTGCAAGTGAGAATCAGCGCAAGAAACTGACTGAGAGAGCATGTTTGTGTGTTTTCTTTCGATATTTTCCTGGGTGTCTGTCAGTGAAACAAAATGCACTGAGCAAAAACACAAAAAATAACAGGAGACATTCGACAATAAAAAGCATGTTTATATAACTGGATAAATACGACTAAATCACTCGACTGTATCTTTCCTGTTGTGAGATGGAAAGCCTTGTTTCTAAGCTGCTCACTCTTCAGTCACAAGGACAAAGGTGTTAGTAGCTCCCTGACCTGAGGCAATAATTGAAGATTAAATCAACTTTCAGTTCATTTTTGAGAATTCTTGATTTTAAAAGCAGCTTTTACTTTTACTGTTTACACGAAGCTCATGCTTTATACGCACACAACAGGCCTTTTAAAAGAGTTCAGTGAGTAAGAACCCTTCACTGTGAATCAGGTTGATGCATATAATTTGGATTTTGGGTTTTGGGTTCATAAAAACTAGAGGAAGCCTGATGTTTTAAACAGCACCAGAGTGATGCAATTTTATACAAATTCAGAAACTGCTTTCACACAAACAAAATCCAACGGTGTGATAAATCAGATGAAGATCCTTGAGGTGGGCCTTGTTGGCTTATTCAGGGACCAACATCTACTTTGGAGTACATATTCAAATACAGAAACAACCTTTCTGAATGATCCAAAACACACAGCAGAAGCACAGAGCGTGCAAAAGTTGTGCTAATATGTTTCTGTACACACAAAACACAAACATACAGTATGTATGAGTTATAAAAATACATGACCCTACTGAAACGATCTCTGCACAGCAGGGGTCATCGGTGACTTGTTGTCTCTTTAAGCCCACTTCCCCACTGCTCTAGTTTCTTCTGATTGGCCACCTCATTGGAGGCCAGTTGTTAGAGCCAAGAGCAGAGCTCGATGTTTTGGGCCCACCTCCTCTATTGTGGTCAATCGAGTAGTGCAGCATTACACCGATCTACTGTGAGTGTCACTTCACGCATTGCTGGGGGCAGGCCGTTCCGCCATAGCTGTCAAGTATCCCATTTTGGCCGGGAGAGTACCACATTTCACTCCTCTCCTGTATTATAATATATGTAAAGAAAACATTACTCTACCTCTCCAAACTGAACTCTGTCAGTTAGTTGGTTAGTTAGGTTAGTTGGTGGCTGTGTCCCCATCAACTAACCAGTAAGTACAGCCTATTACGATGACCTCATTAGTTTAGTAAGTCTCACACAGTCTCAGTGAAATCTCATTCGATTTCCCAATGAACCGTTTTGAGCAGTTTACTTTGATTTTTAAGGATTATCACAACACACCTATACCTCGCAATTCAAAAATTTGCATACATCTACAACAAACACCAAACATTGTAACTTTGATTTTTTTTGTTGTTGTTGTAGTAAATGTAAAAAAGCATGACACCCCTTTTATAATCTTAAATCTCTTTTATTAGAGAGAAATCGACAAACTACACTGAGCAGAAATTACATTAAATCGGCAGAGAAAACACATGTGCATGTACCGTACTGTAAAACATGCTAGTTTAAGCTAATGTTGTAGTTCAAACCAAAACGAAAGCACCATTAGCAAAGAACACGAGTTTAAGGAATGACATACAAAATGCTGCCATGTGACCTGAGGTGGCAGCTGTTACTGTCTCCACACAACAAGCGCAAGTAGAATTATTTCCGCGACTGAGTTACATGTTAAGTCAAGACTAAGACGCGATTAGACACTCTTACTACTCTGGCAGCGCGAATGATGCTATTTGGGCGGGAGCTGAGTTGTCTCAACTTAGAGTTGCAATTACTAATCAGCACGAAAGTTGCCGGGTGGTGTATGAAAATGGATGGTTGTTCACTGGTATCTAAAATGGAAGACAAACTGATCGTGTCGGTGTGTGGGTGCCCCGAATTATACGATACCTAATCTTTCAATTACCGAAACCAGAATAAAAAGGAGCGTGACTGGAGGCAAGTGAGTAAGGAGGTCGGATTACCTGGTAAATTGTAAAAAACCTTTGTCTATCACTTGCTCCCAATGGTTGAACTGGCAGGGATTACCATTGAAATTACCGTGGATGTATGAATGAAGCGAGTAAATACTATTCATTCACACATCTAGATTTGCACGAATTAAGCGAGTAGTTGAATTTACTTGCGTTTGGTGTGAGCGCCTTATTTGAGGTTTGAGTGATAAAAAAGTTTAATACAATTTTAAACAACAACACCATATGTAAACATGTTTGATTCTGCTGTAGAAGTTGACTTCATAATGTGGACTGTGACTGAACTCTCCTGACCTTTTGAGTTGACCTCAAATGGACACACACTGAGTACTGCAGGTTTTATGCGCTGGCTTCATCTACCGCACAGGAGGTTTCTGCATGGTCATAGCTGGTGAATATCTTCAGTAGCCAGTTTGGATCCAAAATAAACCCCATAAGACAGCAGATGTAAAACTTGTGTCACACTAGAGCAGCAGCAGACACCTTCTTCTATGAAAATGTCTCAGATGATTACTTGAGAAGAATCACAAGGAAGCCAGAATTTAACGAGCAGACAGAGTCCTTCAGACCTGGAACAAGTACCCTCTGTGGTGCTTGTGTTTAATGGCCCCAGAGAGGATATTGCCCCCTACCTTAGTGAGAGGAGCTCTCCTGAGTCAAGTGACTTTGATGGGCTGCCCCCTGAGCCCGTCGCTTCTCTGGCATGGGAATGGAAGGCAGGGGCCCTTGTGAGGTGAGGAGAGGGATTTGTGTGCGGCCCTATTGTTCCCAGGCTCTCTTCCGGTGCGCCAAAGACCCTGAGCCTCCCGATGTGCAGCATACAGAACAATACAGCCCAGTTCCCCCGGCCTGTGTGGGACAAAGGAGATGTTCTGCAGTCCCCTCCAATCTGTTGATGTTGTCTGCCTGATGTTTTAATCCCTCCTGATAAACGGGGAAACACCTTTATTCCCAGCAGGCGTTTATCTCATGACAATAAACTGTGATTGAGTGCACATGGAGTCAATCAGTGTTGTCAGGCCTTTCTGCATGAGTGGAAAAACACAAATCCTTCCAAAATGCACGATTTAGAAACTAGAAATAGAATTAGATAAAACTGTTTAAGAAAGTTCAAGTCTTCAGAAGTAATTACAAATCTATAATTTCTGCAGTTGTTGAATTCTACTTTGTGTTTTTGTCTTTGAGTATGTCAGAGGTTGTGATTTGGGATTTTTATCACAAAAAGGTAAGACAACCGATGTTGAAAGAACTAAACACCAGTTCATCTTTAGGTAAAACTGACACTGCATATAACTGACAATTACAATTCGTCTTTTCTTTCATGCGACACAAATAAAAGATGCGCCGCAGGAATTGAAACCCCTCTTTTTTCTGCGCGCCTCCTCTTTTTTGCTGAGTGAACAGAGAATGTGCTGCAGAAATTTCACTCAGTAAACATGTGCATCATTATCCATTCATCGGGACATATTGTTTGTTTACTGTGGCCCCATTTCCAGAGAGCCCAAAAGCAGGCCGGTGGAGTGGGAAGCCCTGAACAAAGGCCTTTCTTCCCCACCCGCCTGGGCCTCAGAAATGCTCACCACTCAGCCGGCACAGAGCCTTTCACCAGGCTTTTGGCCGCCCATGAGTGACAGTTGAATCACCAAGAACTTTTCCCAAGTACAGGAGCCCGGTGACTACACTGTAAAAATATTTTTTGCAAACATCCAATATTTGCAAAAAAGAAGAAGACTTTTAGACGAATAATTCAAGTTTTGCATTTTAGGATGTTGTTAAAATCTGTAAAATCGTGTATTGTTTGAAACAATGTGCTAAAACTATGAAAATTTCTTTGATTTGATTTCAGATAGAGTTGAACAAGATTTTAGAATTTCTGAAAAGAAGTTCTGACAGACATAACGGAACATTTACTGTCTACACACATGATACGAAAGGAAAATTATCAGCGCTAAAGAATTACATGTTACAAAGTCAATGCAAAGACGCGATTAGATGCTCCTACTATAGCAGTGCGAATGATGCGAATTGGGCGGGAGCTGAAAATGCCTCAACTTGAGCAGATATTCGCGTCACGATAACTACTCAGCACAAAGGTTGCCAGATGACATATGAAAACGTACGGTTGTCTACTTGTATCTAAAATAGAGGACAAAGTGAGTGTCAGTGTGTGGTTGCCCGAATTATATGATACCTTTATCTCAATTACCGAATCTGGAATTAAAAGGAGCTCAACTGGAGGCAAGTGGGTGAGGAGGTCGGATTACCTGGTAAATTGTAAGAAACCTTTGTCTATCACTTGATCCCGCTGGTTGAATTGGCAGAGATTACCGTTGATGCGCGAATGAAGCGAGTAAATACTACTCATTCACGCATCTAGATTAGCGCCAAATTAGCGAGTAGATGACTTTTCCCTTGGTGTGAACGCCTCATTAGAGATGGATGTTAAAATTGCAGTTAGCAGTCATGTGAAGTTTTAGGGTTTTTTGTTAAGTTGTTAACCCCAAAAATGAATAACATAAATCAAAAAATAACATAAATGATTTTGGCCACATGTCGCTCAACCAAACAGACCCAATCTCTGACCACAGCATCACAACAAAACTCACTTCCATACTTTTTTACCTTTGCTGAGTAGAAGAAAAGACCTCTGAGCTGTTACGCTCTTGCTGACTTAGTTTGGATTTCAAATCTTTTTTGCGAAGGAGGAGTATTTTGTTGAAGTGGCCTGCCTCTGCTGCCCCCTTGAGACAGTTCATTTAGACTTTTATGCTTGTTTTTTAGAGAAACCACTGAAACATAACAGTAAGGAGATCATAACTTTCACTGTTTTTATGGAATTACACTAATGCAAGCTGATGACGCTTGAAATTGGTTGCTGTAAAACAAACACATACAGATTCAGATGGGTCAATTTAAGCAGAGGATAGTTTTACAGTGTATGACAGGGTGCTGTTGTGTGGAGGGCCAGGCCCAGCTGCATTGCTGGGAGGTCTGCCTATTGTCTGAAGCACATAAAGGCTGGACAAGCGGGGACAAGGCTTTACAACTCAACCCAACAAGCTGCTGCAGAGCGCACACACACACACACACACACACACACACACACACACACACACACACACACACGTTATTGATGAATCAAGAGACGTGACTGACACTTCACGAACATGAGACAAAGACACATGTGAACACATACACACTTCACAGGTGCAATCACACCAAATCACACCATACTTTAATGCTGTGTGTAACTTCAGGGATTAGTAATCTTGACCTATATGTGCTTTAAAACCTTTATGTGCTAGCTGCTCTTGAACAATACTTCTTCATTGGCTGAGTCACAAAGCTTCACTCATGTGATGTTCCTTCACTACAATAAAAACACACAAACTCTGTGACAACAATGAATACTACAGAACTATATGAAAGGCCTACATCTTTAGAGATAGAGATGCAAAAATCAAAGATTTTTTAATGTACAATATAGTGTGAGGAATATTCATGATTTCCATCAATGTTGTGCTTTCACTAGTTTCACAAATCTAGTTCTGTATTTTTTTTAGACTAGATGAAGACTAAGTTGAACTTAACAGACCATCAAAGAAAAAAAATACTTCTGCCCTTACGTGTCAACATTTTTTACTGTTATCCATGTCTGTTTTTATTCATCAATTTTCAATGATTAATCTAACCCAAGAAGTGGCCGAAGAAAATCCTGCATATTAGTGTAATTGGTTTGTTTGAAGTTTGGTAAAAATGCTTAAAAATAAAGTGAAAATATCTCTCACACAATGTTATTAATAATCAAATTGCAATTAAATGCACAGTATGTAAAAACTTGCTTTCCCCTTCTGTTGGTGAAACAACTGTAGCCTTCAATGGTCCTTCATGTCAAGTTTTTACCATCAAAAGAGTCCATCAGTACAAAGTATTTTGCACATAAGAACAACTTTCTGAACGTGTTTGTTTGTCTTAGTGTGTGTGTGTTATCTGCTATGACAAAAACATGCCAGTTCAACATGACTGCCTCCATGGAAGTGGACCTTTTCTTTATGTAGATATAAAAGACTCATCACAGGATCAAAAGTAAATGATTTGATATTTGAGTTACACTAATTTGAATATACTTATGTATATTCAATTTCTACCAAGTCTGTTTTTCTAAGTCTAAAGCTGATGCTGCAACTCTAGCTACATCTTGGTGTAACGCTGAGAGCGCAGAGAACTGGTAATATAACTTTTTTAAATTGTTATTATATATATATATATATATATATATATATATATATATGTATATATGTTCAAAATAAACTTCAATCAATCAATCAATCAATCAATCAATATCGTACATGCAGGTTTAGCCAAACATGTACTGGCTGTTTTTGTCGAGAGTGACGACAGAAGTACTTAGTGCAGTGGAAGTGATTCAGTAATTGGTCATTTTTAATCAACCTTACAATTAAAGCTGTTAATTGTTGAATCCCTAGTCTGAAGCTGTGTGTCAAAGTTTAGAAAAATTTTTTAATGAATTACAGATTTTTTAATACATCATGATCTTTGCCTGTAAGTTGGTCCAGGTACAGCTAGGATCCTAAAATCTGAAAACATGGCGGCAAACCACCATAATAACGTACTAAAATTTCCTCATTTAAAAAAAAAAATTCAATTATTTTTCTCCAAATTTTCTGCATTTATTTATTTATCTATTTAAAACAATAAAAGAAAAAATCCCCTTTGTCCTGAAATCACTCATCCATTTTGGTGTTCTCCCCCTTGCCATGTTTTGTTTCTCTTACAAAGCTCAAGCGACACATGCAGAGTGCATCCTGTGCCCTGCTTTCTGACCTGAATGCACACACAATGGATCAGCCTGCCGCTAATAGTGTGAGCCTGTGCCTGTGGCCTTTACAGTTTGCACAGAATAAAGTTCAGGTGTCAGTAGTTCAACTGATTTATAATGGTGAACAGGCTGTGATTAAGTGCTGATGTCACGGGATTCCTCACTACTCATTTGGGGAATCAAGTAGTTTGTATCCAAACAAGATAAATGGGCCACTAGCTGGTTGTAACCTTTCTCATGTGCACGTTCCCTCAAATCATGTGCCACTGCTCCTTGGCTCTATGAGCTGACTTTATTTATAGCTGTGCTCCTACGGGGTGTGTGTTTGTGCATGTTGTGTGTGTGTCTGCCTTATTGTAGATAGGAAACTCAGATATTCATTCTATCGTTCCTTTTTGCATTTCATGTGTGCAGCATGTTGAAGACAACAACACTGTTATCTTTATCTGTGAAAGAGCATAAGCCACACAACTAATATGAAATAATTCTAAGCACTAAGATTGATTATTATTCAGTTAAGTATATGCACAGAAATACAGTGCTATTCAAGGTTATAAATATCTATATTTGTTAAAGATGTTTAATGTTTTGTGATATTTGAAAATGTCTTGCAAGCCGACAAAGTCTTACCCTGAGAAAAGTCTTAAAAGCAGGAACTGAGGATGTCCCGATTCTGATACGGATATTGGAGATCAGTCTGATATCAGCAAAAAAAAAAAACAAATATAGGATTATATCGGCCTGCATCTAAAGTCTCTGATACTAGCAGTCCATTCCAGACTCCGCTCCAGCACCTCTATCTAGCAGCACCCTGATCCAGCATGCAGAGCCCATGTGATCACAACAACAGTGTGTAATAAGGTACTAACAAAGTAGCAAGGAGTGGGAGTGATGCCAGCCGTGTGGCAGTATTTTTCGTTGAAGTCCGAAAAAGACGCTGCAGCAGATTGCAAAACTTGTCATGCACAATTTTGTGCCAATATTGGATCAATGTTGATATCAGCCAATACTGAAGGCTACAATATCTGTATTGTATCGTAAGTAAAAAAAAAGTTATATCGGGACACCCCTACTAGAAACCAACCTGAGAAATAAAAACGTTTTTTTCATACGGTTTTGTTTCGATCTTCACATTTTAGTGCATATGTGATGTGTATATTTGATGATTATTCAGGTAAATTTTAAAGGACTGCTATTTAATCGAAGCCTGCACTCAACCTTTCATTTTTGCATTTCAGTGCCTTTCTCTGACAGATTACCTACCGATCATGATTCAATTTGGCTCAAATATTTGCCTTGACAGATCATTTCCCAAAGACCCTGGCAATTCAACCAAGGCATCCATAAAACGAGAATCAATTTTTGGATCTCAGTTCAAGCACTAACCTCAAATCAGGTGATAGGTTATGCTGGATCAGCATTCTTTGTAATTCACAAATATTTGTTCACTGATGAATCTTAATCGTCATAATTTTCATCAGTAACATTAACACTATAGCTCTGATCTCTGTGCACATCACAGATGTCTTCTCTGTGAATCACACTGAAAACAACTGTCTAGAGACAGTAATGGACAAATTAAAGGGATATTCCGGTGTGAAATTAATTTAGGGTCAAACACGCCGTAACACCGAGTTAGACACCCCCTCGAGAGATGAATGTTGCCGACCTCTTGCTTCTCTAGTTATACCAACTTAAGTAATGACCAATAGCAATACACAGTAGTCTGAGGAGCCATAAACAAACCTCAAACAAAACGCCACTCTATAGCCACATATAATGCTCACAACAGCACCTAACTTCATCAACAGTACGGGTCCCAGCCATAGCACTAGCCATCAAACATCTTTTAAACTTTACCTATTTTTTTCAGCAAAGAGACTAAACACAACTCACCTACTCTCTTCCAGCAGTCTAATTGCATTTCCATGAAGAAATCAACTTACATTGACCTATACACTGGAGTCGTTCACCAGCAACCTTATATTATTTAGCATGGTAAGACCTCCCTATAGACATAATTTATGTTTTAGAAAAAAGATATTTGACGTGGAATTGGAATTTCTACTTTGGCCAATCTGTGACATGGTGCAGGCAGGCTGGACAGTCACTAAAGGATGCTCTAAAGGTTTTTGGCTTCACTTTTTTGTTAAAGTTGTCATATCTTCCATCTTTTCATACAGTGAATGAGCAGGGGGGACCTTGGCTAGAGACCTGCTTTAAAATCAGTCTGTTGGGTTGAGTAGTGAAAACAAATCAGGTATCTACTCAGATACCTGGTTTGGATAGTGTGTGTGTGCATGCATGTGCATGTGTGTGTGTACTGAATTAAAGGACTTCAGTCTGGTACACACATGAACATTACAACAGTTCAAATGATGTCTAAGCTCATCCTAAAATAGTGTTTCTGCCACTCAAAGACATCTCATCTTTCACTGGAGCTCTCTTACATGCCGTTCAGATGAAACATGCAGCTAATGGAGCTCAGCTCTTTGAAGTGACCTTTGACCTTTTCAGCACATTTGTGTTAATGGACTCAAGCTTATTTCTTCTGGTGACTTAGTAGAATGGATTTCCTGAGCTACATGTTAACATTGCAGTGAAAAGTCACATTAAAACAGAGATTGTTGTTTAAACCAAATATTTGTGTTGTGTTGAGACTTTGTTGGTTTTTATACTTTTTTTTTTCTAGTTTGCCTCCTTTTTTAATCTCATAAAGCCTGATCTACCAAAAGTTTGCATTTAATAAAAACATGTGCAAACTTGATAGCGCGCGCAAAGCTGACTTACAAACCAGGTGTACCGAAGATTGTGTCTGTCAAATGAGCAAATTACCACGCACAATCCATTGAACACATTTGTCTTCATGAATATGCAGAATCTTGGTACATGCCCACCCTTGACGAGGATTGGATAGCAAAAATTGTTTTTTTTTCAAGAGAGCTACTGAGCTTGAAGAACAATAACTTAAATGGAATAAAACAACCCCTCAGACACCACTCATGACAACTTCCCCAAGGACCTCTGTATGAGCCATTTTATCTATATTATTCTGGGGGTTTTGTTTTGTTATTCATACAATCACCACAAGGGGCACTTCAGGTGAATTGGCACGTAAATGCTACTAAGGGACACAGGTGAAGCGGTAATCTGGGGAACGGGAAGAGCACACGGTTTTTACCGCTAATCTCTGACACCACTCTCACCCTCATCACGAACGTCACCATCATAGTAAGTTAGACGTATTTGTCTTTTTTCATTTGTTTTTCATTTAATCAATAAATGGCAAAAATATATCTCAACAACAACCTTGGATTGGACATTGGATTGTACTAGAAGCACATCAAAAACACCTCACTCCCGCACCCAGACAGTGACTAAAATTCAGGTCAGTAAAGTCACTACAACCTCCTTTTTGCATTCGGTGATTCAGTGCAAACAGTCTGCTACAGCGATGGCTGATTCTTCATAGGCTAATGCAATGGTGCCTCTTTATTGGCTTGTGACTTCAATTAGATGTCATGAACCTATGGCAGCTCCAGACATTCAAAGTGGATGAAATTTCATTGAATTTCAATCATGTAATAGATTTTACACTGTGTTGCAAGTAATCAAGTTAACTGAGGCAGAGGGGCCAGGGTGAGATTAGTGCACCAATAGAGACTAAGTACCTGCAGCATTGCCAAACAGACCACTTTAGTACAAAGGTGCTACACTCTGAGAGCTTGTCATGTCTTTAATACATTATCACTGTCTCTCTAAATCCACAGTTTTTAATGGGACAGCTGAGCTTAAATATCTTGGTGAAGCTTTTCAAAATCTTGTAGATTACGACATAGAGAACGTCTCATCTCTGGTTTAACATCCAGTAGCAAACAGTACTTTGATTTAATGCACACAAGAGCACTAAACCTGCCTTTGCAAAAATATGTGCCCCCAAAAGTAACCAACAGTTTGAAAGCACTCTGAGATCTCTGGCTGCAAACAAATCATTTATTTTCATCTGAGCAATATGAAGCATGGTCTTATAACTGTCATGTGTGGCATTTGGGGCTCATGGGAAATGCAGTTTACCCCAGGCGGTGTTTGTGTTTTGAATAAGATATGCTTTGATTAATTTACCAACCTCAGTTACTTTATGACAGAACGATACTTTAGGTTTCATTGTCAACCCCGACGATAGATAAGTCTCGGCTAGTGGCTGCGAACTGTGCACAAAGCTTGTCTCCTTGTAAACCTTCTGAATATTCCCAGAGGGTATAGTACATGCACGTGTATGTGTGTCATAAACCACCAGTTAAAGTGTTTCATCAGGTGCACCATCACAGATTATTTTCATGTTTATATCATCAGATCATCCCACTCGAAGACTCAGCATCATGAAACTTTTCATAAAGCATATAATGTAAACTTCTGGTGCAAATAAAAATGACACAACATCCTTGGATAACACTGTACCACTGGGACCACTGCATCTTTACGAACACAACAGACTGAAAAGCAAACACAGCCAACATGGTACCCAAGGTAGAAAGCAAAATCATGCCCCAAATGTTACTCACCGATATCAGCTGAGTGACCCACTTTCTACTGAACTCTGACCCACAGTCCTCCTGATAATTGTAAGTGCACAGCTCCTGTAAAATAGGCATCAAGCAGCTGAAATTAGAGGTTATAAACTGCTGTTTTTTTTCATACTTTTCTGATTGTTAAGATTTGCCAAAGACGTCCACAGTAGTTGTGATCATGCCATCAGTATAACTACACCCTGCAAATGAAATAACAAGGAGAATACCACATTTTTACCGTGCACTATTTTTAACCGTGAAAGCGTAAACCATGCACATCCTCATTGGCTGAGATGATAATTTAGTCTGACACTGACAGGTGTTCGACAGGTCATGTGAGTAGGTGGGTTTTTTATTTCAGGATAGGTTACATTCACGGCTGCTCCAGCGTTTCTAGAGAAAATTTTGGTTTCCTCTTTGTGTTTTTTGGGGGCAGCAAATCTGGGACAGATTTTAGTCTAAATGTGTGGGTGGAATCATGTGAGAAAATGTGTTCTCTCCCTGTGCATGTGTGTGCCTGTGTGTTTGTGTGTGAGCGCCATGCTAGCTCCTTGCACAGCCGGGTAGCAGGGATGATGGGGCCCACACACACTGGAGCTCCTCAATTATTCTGGTTATGTGTACTCTACAAAGACTTCATTACACAGTGTTTCAGGGAAGTTTTCACATTGCTAGGTGAATCAAAATGCCACTGACACCCATCCCCAGCCCGGGTGTCATCTGTGAATAAACAGGGTGTCAGTCTAGCTGTGCTCCTACTGCCTGCAGACAGCCTCTGTCAGCGTCAGACCAGGACATGCCACCTCTCTGCTGACAGCTGCCTGTGCTGCACTCTCACACTGGCACCCGCGGGGAGAGCCCGGCAGCTCCCCATCCCGCTCTGTGCACCGCCATGCTAAGTGCAAATCCCAAAACCTGCCACACGTCGCCCTGACAGCCTTTCACTGTATATCTAAATAGAGCAGGAGCCCAGCGTGTCCCGGGGAAACTTTTACATTCTACTCCATTCAGGGAGGATTTGTCACCTGGGAAAGAGGATAATGAAGCAGTGTTTCTTCTCTGGTTGTTTCAGGCAGTCCTTCCCCGTAGACATGGTAATGGCTGGATTGGATTAAATGAGCTCTCCTTCTTGTCTGTCAGGAAGAGATCTGTGGAACGTTTAGGTTTTGTTATAAGCTGCCAGGGTATTAAATGAATATGATTAAAGCTCAATATAGAAAAAAATGGTGTTTGACTAAAGACGCTGGCTTTAGATGGTTTCAATCAAAGCCAGTCATGCTGCTAGAGAACCAGGAATGCTAAGACAATGTCTACAGTTCAGTTAGTTCTTCCTTTACTTGCTGTAATGCTTTAAAAAAAGCTAAGATATCCCGTTATTAGGGGGAAATTCCAAACCAAGCAAACATTGAGTTATGAAGGGTTAAATGACAGAAGCCAATTCGTCAGCCTATCAAAATTTCCCTTATTTTGCTGTTGTTAGGAGGAAAACATTGTGCCTCATGCTCAGTGATTAGTGGTCGCGAAATAAAATAACCGAGGGCCTTATATCTCATTTTATAATTTATTTCCCCCTTTGTTGGGATTGCTATTGCTATCCATCACAAGTTCTGCCGAATGAAGGGTGCACCTGCAAACTAGCTAGCTAACAAGTCCTTTCTCATTAATATCATGTAATCTCATACACTTATGGAACTGTCCACTTGGCAGGCAATAAAGGCCGCCTTCTTTACTACTGCTGCTGCAAGAACTTGCTGTCAGGGCTGACCAAAACCTATGTGAGGCGTTGAAGACACACCCAGATGAAAATCATGTTTTTCATGTTTTTTTATATGTTCATTTGGCATTTTTCTTGATGCTACAGGATATACCATGAGAAAACTAAATGCATAATTGCTTTTCTGAGTATTTCCTGTGAATCTCTGGCAGACCCAAATGGCAGGTTCAGAAACAGTGAGATTTCGTATGTAACCAATCCAAGCTCCGCCCCCGAAGCCTAGCTGTGCAGGCCACACTCTGCATATAGAGGAGAAATACAGAGGACAATCACGGAACAAGTGTGTGCGATAGCGGATTGCAATGCTCGTAAGAAACCTAATTATGATATTAGCTTTCATTATGTCCCTAAAGACAATACCATGCGAGAGCTGAATACTGCTTCTACTACACCGGCAATGTTAGGCAGCAAGCTAGCGTGCACTACATGCCACACTTTAAATTTCTCATGCTTATATTTTCTCATTCAATACTCTGTATTTATTTTTTTCATGATAATAAACTTGGCTTGCCGTGGTTCGAGTCACTCTGATTGACTGACCAAGATAACCAATCCCAGACCAATCCATCAGTCCTTTGCGCCTAAATCCAACCAACCATGGAAGGCACCACACACTATAAACCAATCAAAGGAACGTAAGGCGGGTCTTGACGTCTCTCTTTCACACACAACAGCACCGACATTTAAAACCCACTCGACATACACCTGCTCTTCTGAAGGCGGACGGGAGGTAACTAGAACATCAGTCTTAAGGTATAAATTGACGTTAAAAAAGGCAAAAAATGTTTCGCCGCCAACACATCATAACGCTAAAGTCTCACTCTTGTCATTTTCTGAAACTTGGCAGCCCTGTATTCACACGACAGTAAGGCACAAAGTCACAACATGTCAACCTGAGGACATCCACCACAGTCTTTTACCTGGATGACCAGTGGTCAGTTGATACCCAGTCATCGAGAGCTCCAGCTGACTGCTTCATGGGTTCATTCTGGACAAAAATGATGGCGCTGTCGAAAACTCTGTGGTGGGTTTTTATTCACACTAATTCCCCCCAAAAAACAGCAGCAAACAGTGGCAAAAATGTTGCAAAATGACAAAAAGGCCAGGCAAATAAAAATGAGGTATTTACAGCAGAATCTCAGTTGAACTCATAGCAGGCCCACAATGCCACTGGGCAAAGATTTCTGAGTGGGCAGAACACCCATTAAATACCCCTTAGCCCCTCCCCTGGGCAAAACCATAAACAAATTACAGGAGTTTAAGGAACAGTGTAGCCAAATTGGACACCAAGTTCAACAATCAATCATATATTGTAACATGGACAAAATGACACAAAAATCCTTTCATCGGCTGTATTTACCTTTTCACCTAAAACACATTAATTCAGGAGATAATACCAAGAATAACGATAATGGTGTGGTCCGGTGGTCACATGATTTCCAAAAGCGCGCCACCTAGTGCTATTTACTGTGGGACCAGGAAGTGCCCCGGTTTGGCTTTGGAAGATGGCAGCAGGTAAGAGTGTATGTGTGTGTGTGGCGTGTAGTAGCCCAGTGTGCACAGTTGAACGCTTACAGCGGGGAGAAAAGAGTCCAAGTAGTTGAAAAAGAGTTTGTAGGAGTGCAGGACCGCGAGGGTAAAAGTTAAGACACAGTCTAACGAAGCTTGGCACCGCGGGGAGCGAGAGCGCACTTTGCGCGCTCCTGGCACCGGCATCTAGCGCGCATTCGGTCAGCGTCGCGTATCTGCACCGTGGAGCAGCGCCGTCTATCGCACACGGGATATGTTGTACAGCCACGGTCAGCTGGGCTCAGTAAAGAGGAAATAAAATGCTCACAACAGGTTCTTTTGCTTTTCTGTGGTTTATTTCCTGCTAAATTGGATATAATCCAGTGACTTTTTGGCCTGTACTGTTTGTGAAAAAGCAACGTGATTTTACAGTTTCCGGTTTTTGCAGGTTTACTTGTGTTTCATAAAGTAATCTATGTTCCTTTTTGCTGTGCTGTTACCTTCTGACAAAGTTAGCAAGTAAAGTCTTTTTGGTGTCCACATGGATCAGCCAGAGTAGTTAAAAGTCCGGTTGGGGTCCACATGGATCAAGGATTGACCATCGGATTGTTCTGTATTACTGATAAATCCATATCTAGGAAGTACCTCTCAGGTTGTTTTGCTTTTCTGTGGATTATTTCCTGCTAATTTGGATATAATTCAGTGACTGTTGAGCCTCTACTATATGTGAAAAAGCAACGTGATTTTAAAGTTGTGGTTTTTGCAGATTAACTCATGTTTAATAATCCATGTTCCTTTATGCTGTGCTGTTACCTTCACACAAAGTTAGAAGTAAAAGGTCCTTTTGGGGTCCACTTGGGTCAGGGATTGACCATCGGATTATTCTGTGTTACTGATAAATCCATAACCAGGAAGTATTTCTCAGCTACACCAACTGATACACAGTCGGTAGTTCGCATATGGTGTTTTATTTTGAAATTTACTGGATGAAATACGCTGTTTCTGTGCTTGAGTTCAATGCACAGTATTGATAAGTCTAAAATACCAACATAATAAGTGCCACCCTTCAGTCTGCCAGTCTCTGTTAACCAGTTACAATACGTCATCTTGAAACAACAACTCATTCAAACAGAAATAATATAACTATGATTCATTTCCATGGAGATCTGTCTGCTTTGGTCGGCTACTTTGCTCTAACTTTCCAAGTGCTCTGTCATGTGTTTATGTCTGTCTTCTCATTGGAGGGTTGCTCCTGCTAATTGGTCTTAATTGTTGGTAATACCCCCACGTCGTTTTGCTTTAGGTTGCCTCGGCATGCGGCTGAGGAGATGCCTTTTTTATTGATGTGACAGCGCTAAATTGAGAACCTTTGGCGGAGTGTCAAAGCCTAATTAATCACTCTAATTTCATCTCTCCATGCGTCCTCAGCCAGTGAGTGAATGTGATCAGAGGGAGAGCCGTGTCTGCGTAGTCTCCTCATGCTAATTAGCTGCTAGCCCGGAGATGGAGAGGCCCTCAGGGTGAGAGGCGAGGGGCTAAAGCCAGTCTAAATGATGACCAAGAGAGCAGGAATCAGAACCCAGTTCATATTACATTCAAGTTGTCCCCACCTCTGACCCCCTCCTCTGCCAGCCAACTCAGTGTGGTTGCTTGAAGGAATCAAGGCTTACATGTCCATCATTCATGTGACACTTTATTGTCTGTCAGGCTGCATGACCACACCTTCATTTAAAGTTTATCTGATATGAATATTGGGATCATTGCTCTGAACAACACACAGTAAAACGCAAACATCTCTTATGGCAATGTTTGGTTTCTTTTAAAATGGTATTCCAGACATGCAGCAGGTACATAAAAGCTTTGATGAAACTATCAGTTCCATTCATTCACTGTCATGTTTATTAAAACTTATGTTCATGAATCTTAGTTTTAAAATTGAAAAGTACTTTTGTCTTTGGGTGAGTTTAAATTAAACATTTCAGATACTGGTTATCTTATGATTGGTAACGGTGAATATCACATTCAGACAACCAGGCAGCACCCCATGATCATGTGCAGATTTTGCAAGCTACATTAAATATCTGGTGTATGTTACATTACGCTGTTCAATGGGTTCATTTATTTGTATATTAAAGCAGTACAGTTTTGCTTTCTGCAATATAACATGTCAGACATTACATAGGTATACAAACCCTATTTTCAAGGTATGTTGTTTTTTAGAATAGGTTTGATAGCCGTCTTCAAAATCTAAACATGGGAAAGGATTTTTTTTTTTGGCAAACATGTTTGTAAACTTTAAAAATGCTGTTATCTTAGGATTTGTTTTCAACTTTTTTAATTTGGATGAGGGGATTAGGAAATAGAAAATGTTATCATTTTTACTATGATACTAATTCTAGCCACAAAAATGTGTAAAAATAATCCACAAAAATGATCCTAATATTAGTATTTTGTTATTTGTAGATAAATGAAAGCATTATCTTAGTTAAGTTAAAGTTAGCTAAGTTAAATACCCTAAAAGCAGTTTATTTACCCAGTTACAGATGAAAAATACTCAGGATATTGGTTATTTGGACATATATTGATAAGAGCTAATACGTTTTGAATATTATATAATACATTATATAATACTTTTTTTTTCAGATTTTTTTTCAGTCCATCACAAAATACTGTATTTTTTAATGATATAACACTACAAATGCAAACCCACTGAAGTCTGAAAATATTGAACACATTTAGCTGTAGTGCCAAGCGTTTCTTTTGTTTATTGCCACAATAAAATCTTGTTTTATATGCAACAAATGTCACCCTAAAGAAAATGCTCCATGTGGAGTTTCTTCCATTGTCTCTTAATCGTTGTCTTAGTTTTGAGAAAATAATCAAAAAGTGGTCGTAGAGCATGGCACAACATTGACCTATATTTTTTATCCAAGTATAGTATATTTGAACCGTGTTTCAGTATAAATGGATGATATGTTAATTGGGCATCTGGTTGTGATCAATAACAGTCATGTCTGAAGATCTCACCCCTCCCAGTTTGAAGAAAAAAATCTGAGGTATTTGGCGGGCTGCTCTCATGTTGAATTTTGGCTCAGTCCCTGCATATTAAACTTTACAAGCCTGCTGTTTCTATATTGCCCGTCATGTGTTGTTAAAACTGGCCTCTCTCTATTTAAACCTTCATCACACCACTTTATACGAGTGTGTGGGTACATCTGGTTAATGTGTTTGGCATCCTCTGTAGATCCTGGCTCAGACACCTAACATGAGACCTAAAAGCCCTCGGCACCCAGCCTGCCTGGCACCCGATCCTGTGGGAAAGCTGCGCAGGGAGGACAGGTTGGGCAGGAGAGCTTTACATGTATGAAAGAATGACAGAGAGAGAGAGAGAGAGAGAGAGAGGGAGAGGGAGAAAGAGAGAGGGAGAGAAGGGGGTTGACCCTTGCTCTACTTACTGTTGGTTGCTTGTAATGTTGGTGATCCAGGAATTTAAGCCTCCTCTGTTATTCTGTAAGTAGCTGTAAGTGGTTGTGCGTCACCCTGCAGAAGTGTGCCAGCTTAACGCCTGACATGCAAATGTGATTGAGTCTGCAGATCCACAGTGAATAAAAACCAGATCACAGAAATCTGTAAGCAAAGAAGACAGGAGCATCAATTCATGCAGTTAAATCAAAATTGCATAACAAGTGTGGTAACTAATTTTACAGCCTAAATTCTTCATGGTGTAACGAGATTTTGTTATATAAAAGTAAAAGATAAAGAAGTATTTCAGATTTAGGAACAAATTATCATAAGATTTATCACAGAAAGCTTTTCAGTTTTACATTTTGTATGATTCAATATATCATGGTAAACAACATTAAGAATATAAAACATTAAACATAATGAAGAATTTTTTTAAAAAGAACATTATTTTCAAACACCTTTTAATAAATAGCATAAATGATATTCTTTTGTAAGTTAATTTCCCATTTTTCTCTTTTCCAAAAAAAGGTCCTATAACCATTTTATTTATATATTCATGAGCTTTTTTATCATCACTGTACTGTTGTTATTGGTGTCATTATTGTAGGGCTGTGTAAAAACAACAACAAATAAAAAATAATTACAAAAAAGGCAAATGGCACATGGCAAAATGCGAGATTGGAAGAAGAAGAAGGAAGAAGAAGACCTTTATTGATCTCGGAAGGGAAATTCAATATATTTCAATATATGGATGGATTATCAAAAACTTTTTAGGTATTTTTTTTAGGTACTCAACCTCTTTGTGTCACAAGAGGTAGTTTAACATTTTCCTATAAGAGCCATGTTTCCCTCTTAAACTATTAAACTATTAAGTTAAGGACAGGTTTGGATATCAGATTTTATCACAGAGATATCATAAACAAAGCTAAGGCTGGACTTCATTGAAGACTGCAGTAGATAGTTTTGTGTTTTTGAAAATAAAAAATTAAAAAAAAAGCTGATTTTGTGAAGCTGATGAACCCTCCCCATCTGCTCTGGAAAATCCTTGATACACAGTTTATTGTCCTTAGAACAACAATTTTAGGGAAAATAAAAACATAAGCATCCATTAACACACAGTAAATGTTCAGTTGTGAGCCTGTTGTGTTATTTCTCTGCGGTGATTGCCAAGGCTCTTCCTTTCCCTGTAATTACTGGATCAGATTCACATTACACATGAACATGAAGCAGGCAGCCAAATATGCTTTTCTTCAACACTGAGAATTTATAGACTGAACTATATTCTGTCCTTATATCACACACACAGTTAGAGTTTCAGTCAGGCTTGGCAAAGGCATGCATATGTTGGTTTGACCTGAATGATTTCCTGGAGAGAAGGCTCCAAACATACACACTTCTTTTTTTGTTGCTGACAGAAAATGCCAGGAGACCTGCAGAGATGTGGTCAACGCTTTCAACAAAAGATCAGCATTTTGTCGCTTGCAGTGTGTTTGTCCCAGAGTGTGTGGTCACAAACTCCTCGCACCATCGCAGAGATAATTATCGAGTCTGTATGCTGCGAGGAACTCTCCGTGTTTTTCTCTTTTTTTATGTACATCCATTTCTAATTATGCACTGCAGGGGAAGTTAAGGTCTGTTTTTCATAATTCATGTTTTGCTTACAAAGTGCAAAGAGCTGCTGTTCTCCAGACCTCTCCTTCCACTGCCCACTCACCACCTTACTGTTAAACTTCCTAGTTGTAAAGTGATAGTTTAGAGTTTAAAAAAAAAACTTTCTACCTTTATCAAGTTGTGCAGCCTGAGCCATGAGTACATTTTGCTCCAGCAGAGTGAGGAGAAGCTGCTCATAAAAACACATTTTTTTTTAAGGAGTACGATTTCATGGAAGGCTGTCAGCTACTATGGCTCTCAGTTTTGGCATAGATGCTTATTTTAAGTGATCGAGGGAGTAAATATATAATTTTTCTCAGTGGCGCATTCGGTGAAAGTGGTTGAATGTAACCGTTCCTCCTTGAAATTGACTAATCAGATGTTACATGCGGGGATGGAGGGCTGTAGCCCACATACACACATGTACACGCATATGCACATTCACAAGCGTAAACACACTTTCCGCTGTGATGCAAGAGTGTCTCATAGTATGGAATGAGCATGATAATGAGTCAGTCTCATGTTTATTTAAGTTTGAAAGCGGCGCTCTCCTGCAGAGGTCAGGTCAGGTCTGCATGAGGACTATTAACATTAATATGTGAGCATGTTTGAAAGCCTGCCTGACTGTGTGTGTGTGTCTGTGTGTGTATGTGTGTGCAGGTACATCCAGACACTGTGGAAAACTTTAATCAAATAAACATGTCAGTGTATGAGCAAAACAACAAAACAAACGAGAATCTAACATGTCTGTTAAATTCAGAAAACTCTTTGGCCTACTTTCCTAAACCAGCTTTGCTTACAATCATATTCAAAAGAGACTACATTTCCCAGAATGCTTTTCACTGAACAGCCACAGTCAGAAAGTTAATGTGTAGTGTATTTTTACTATTGACTGTATATAGAATGGATGTCATCTGGGTGAGGCCTCTGCGAGAACAGCACTCCTGGCAATGACCTTAATTACACTGAATATAAATTTTTCTTCCCCCTGGTTGCGATGCTGACATGTAGTTATTGTAAGACTGGTTTGTACTCAAGTCCTCTTTTTTCTGTGAAGGTCCATTTTTAGTGGTTATAAGGGGGTTCATGTTTTCTATGATTGACACTTGATACATCCTATGGGTGTACAAAGATTGCGTAGCTCATTTGGGGGATACGCTGTATTAGCAGAGCGTCATCACAGCAACTCTCCCGCCGGATGCTACTGCAGGAAATAGAGACAATCATGGAATTCGTACAATGATGGAAGGTGGAACCACGTTGTTCATACTTTATGTAGTCTATGATTGTCATTCTTTATACATAATTGTAGGAATAATGGACCAAATATGTTTATCTTGAAGTTCTCTAATGATATTGGATTGTTGTCTTTGCTTCATCAGGCTAATAAGATAGTCTGGTGGAGTGGTGCGTGAAGAGCTCACTTACTATCAATGCAAAGAAGACAAAAGAAGTCATTTTTGGTCTTCTGGAGAACTCATATCCTACACCTGTCACTGTAACACATACATCGAACAAGTCTTTTCTTACGAATATTGAGGCATCAATGTGGACACTGTTCTATCATGGAGCGCACACGTTGATTATATCTGTAGCAAAACACAGCAACGAGGCTAAGGTCTTTTGGTACGAGTGGGCCTATTCTGTTATTGTTCTTTCAATCTATTGTCAGTGTTATGCAGTATGGAGTCAGTGCATGGTATAGTTGTCTCCCAGTGCAACTTAAAACTCGACTGGGGAGACTGCTAAGCATCTGCTCAAAGCTTGTAGGCCAAACACTTGAGCCAATTTTCAGAGCTGCATAGACGAATGCTGTCCCTGGCAGACAATATTTTGACCGACCCGACACTTGTTTTATTTGAAGAGTACCAGTTGCTGCCATCCAACAGGAGATATAAAATCCCGAGAGTTAGATTAAATGGATTTAGGAACTCTTTTATTCCTCGGTCAGTTAAAATGTTGAATCAGTTAGTTTCGTCAGGACACTGAATAGCTGTTAAAGTACAGACTTGGAGGCACTGCAGCCACTCTGATGTTTGTCTCGTGTTATATTTTCTAATATTTTCTAATATTTTTGCTGTTGTTTGATGGGACACTTTGCCTGGTGTTTGTTTGTTGTTATATTGTGCTCTATGTTGTAAGGTTTTTCTTTTTGGTTGAAGAACAAGCATTTTGTATGCAAGAAAATTTTCAGAAGAGATTCTGATAGTTAAGTACTTGCTAACAAAAAAAATTGATTTGTTGCCTTAGTACCTAGATATCAAGTACCTTGGTACTTCTTGACATATCTAAATAATGCGGTTGGGGATTGATCTTCTCTGTCATGTATACGGCTCAATCAGACTGAAACTTCATCAGGCCTTAAGTTACTGGCCTTATGTTGTTTGGACAGAGTGTGTTTCCTCCTCTGAAAGGACACAATCTACTGCTTATATGGTTATGTTGCTTTCTTTATAGAGACAACTTATTGCACGATTGCGTGTCGATTTGCGGGTTCTTGTGGAATTC